TTTAACTGATGAGGATGAAGAGAATGAGTAAATGCATCAGGTAGGTCTAATATAACATTTGAATCAGTCATAATAAGGGAACAAACAACCGTGTCACGGACGCCCAAGATGGGTTTTATGCACGGAGAACAGACCGTGCTGAAAAAAGATTATCACGATCGTGAAACAATTGTTAATCGAACACTCTGTCCTATTTATTAGAACACTGCAAAAAGTTTACGTCAAAGTACGGCCCCGCGTACAAGTAAAGATTCTGTACATGTATATAACTGGCCTGTATTAATCCCATAGAGTCGACCTACATTCCTTGACCTAAATTCCAGGCAGGGTTATATAATCAATGCACTGGTTCACTCGCAGGGTTCATACAGCACTTTAAGTGCTTGAATCTAGTATATATTGCCCCTTGTACATGTATTCAGTCTGTTAATGACATTAAAAGTACTTGAAATTGTTATTAGCCTTACAAAGGGCTTGTATTTATCATTTTCCCTAAAAAATTCTGGGATTTGATCAGTTTGAAATTTGTCGAATTATTATTTAAAACCTTGTTTTTAACCTGAATGTAGACATGCTGGGGGAATGCCCTTTTTAATCTGTCAATTTTTTCTCATGTTTCATTATCATTAAAATACAAAGTTTGTGTGAATGATGCACCTCTTTTCTATGCAAACTTAAAAATGACAGTAAGACGCATTGAGTTATTGAAAAATTATTGATTTAGAGCCTCAGAAGTCATTCAATTTGCTTTTATGTTGCTGTATGAACCCTAAGCAGTAATCATGAATATCTTCATCATTGCATGTAGTTATTTCAGCATTCATATTTTCATTAATGAAAACTGTTTGTATGATATTACACTAAAATAATTCACTATCTTAAAATATCTATTTCTTTTCCAGATGCTATTAAAAGACAGGCTGTCTGAACAGCACATAAAACAAGCAAAGTGGATGGACTAAGGAAAAAAAAATTGGAAGAGAAGAATGGGGTATGTAATACAGGAGCCTATATAAGTTCTGTACAAAGCCCAATCAAGTTGCCTAGCAGTAATCATGAATGCATATTTTCATCATTACTTGTAGCTATTTCATTATTCATATTTCCCTAATTGAAAACTTTTTGCATGATATTACACTCAAATAATTCACTCTTTTTATCTATTTACCAGGTGCCATTAAAAGATACAGTTCTGAAAAGTAGGAGGATGTTCTAAAACAAGCAAAAGGACTGGATGAGCTGAAACAAAAAATATGGAAAAAAAGGAAGGAGGTACTATTATAGAAGCATGTGTAAACCTTGTAAAATCTCTCTTTTAAGCCTTTTGATGGCTTTAAGTCCATAGTTTGAAAATACTTCTAACATCATAAAAGTTACCATTGTTTTCATCATATTTGATTAGCATTAAAATGAACTGTTACCCAAAACAGCATTTATCATTACATGCATCCTATTTTTCAGGAGGCAAAAGACAAAGATTTGGGCAGGCAAAGTGTTCTCTTGACAGACGATTCCAGGATAACTACTCCCAGGAGAGCGGGAAGTTATGCATATATAGTAGGACTAGTGGATCTGGCTGAAAGTACATTTAGAGAACATTTCCTGGGCCTTTCTTGGATTATCAAACAAAAAATCAAATGTCCTTGGATTATCAAAAAACTTTCAAAAGACAAGCGCAACCTGCACAAAAATGTTATAATGGAATAAATTATTAAAATTTATACCACGTGTTGTTCTGTTTATCAATATATTATTAATCGCGGCAATGAATATTACATTAAAATAAACAACAAAAGAAGGAAAAATGCAGTCTTTTCTTAAATAAAAAGGTTTGAAAAGGTTATCTTTTGTATCTGAAAAGTTGCACAAAAGGCATCTGAAAGTTGGACTTTTTAGCAGGAAAAGGTAGAGAAAAGTGGGTCATTCATATGCCTTTTAGCATGCAAAAAGTTGATGAATGATGAACTTGAGAATACCTTTTATTCAAGCAAAAGATCGTCTTTTTGCAGCAAAAGGTTTATGAAAGTTAAACTTTTGTGTAGAGAAAAGGTGAAGAAAAGTGGGCCATTTGTATACCTTTTCACTTATACAAAAGTCATTCAAAAGATCGTCTTTTACACCTTTCCTAAAAAAACGAAAGGTCTAGGAAAGGTGTGAGAAGGTGAATAAAAGGAGGCCTTTTGATCGCCTTTCAGGATATATAAAAGCTGATTTTTCATGCAGTGTCAGCGTTAAATGCGAACTTCGTTTATAGGCCTTCTGCTCACATTTATAGACAATGTTCTAATACAATGACATAAACTCGATTTGGAAGTTATTTCCCCTCATTTGCATTGACAAGTCTGGAAACATTAAAGTAATAAAAAATAATAATAATGTCTATTATGTACATGCTGGTGTTCAACGAAGTCTATAATTTCTATCAGGGCATTTCCTGGCTATCCGGAGCTTAAGGACAAGGACGGATCCAGGATGATTGCTTATGTTACAGGACTGGAGGGGGGCATGGATAAAAATGATTGCCGCAGCTTGTTTTTTTTTCCCGGCAAATAAACCAGAAAACAAGGGCAAATTAATGTTTTAGCATGTTAAAACATGTTGGGTACAGGGATGAAAAAAACTAACTTGATTTTTTCTTGTTTCACTGAGGAGGAAGATACAGAAAGTGGTTCCTCAGAGATTAATTGAGGGACACGTGTCAGGTGCAACATTCTTCTCCGCCATGACAATGCTGGAAGGCGACATCAGTAGATAGGCTANTGAATAAAAGGAGGCCTTTTGATCGCCTTTCAGGATATATAAAAGCTGATTTTTCATGCAGTGTCAGCGTTAAATGCGAACTTCGTTTATAGGCCTTCTGCTCACATTTATAGACAATGTTCTAATACAATGACATAAACTCGATTTGGAAGTTATTTCCCCTCATTTGCATTGACAAGTCTGGAAACATTAAAGTAATAAAAAATAATAATAATGTCTATTATGTACATGCTGGTGTTCAACGAAGTCTATAATTTCTATCAGGGCATTTCCTGGCTATCCGGAGCTTAAGGACAAGGACGGATCCAGGATGATTGCTTATGTTACAGGACTGGAGGGGGGCATGGATAAAAATGATTGCCGCAGCTTGTTTTTTTTTCCCGGCAAATAAACCAGAAAACAAGGGCAAATTAATGTTTTAGCATGTTAAAACATGTTGGGTACAGGGATGAAAAAAACTAACTTGATTTTTTCTTGTTTCACTGAGGAGGAAGATACAGAAAGTGGTTCCTCAGAGATTAATTGAGGGACACGTGTCAGGTGCAACATTCTTCTCCGCCATGACAATGCTGGAAGGCGACATCAGTAGATAGGCTATATATATTATAAGAGCCGTAGTAACATAAAACGGCACCGACATATGTTCAAACAGCCGTAGAAGAGAGATGATCGAGTTTCTATGGACCTCCTTCTATGAAACTCAAGGTGATCAAGTGCAATTACCCAAATCCTGCTTGTTGGATATTTTACTCATATATTAATTACATTATATTGTATTAGGCCTATAGCCTATAGGGCCTACGTCCCTATGTGGTTTCCAAACGCGTGTTGGGGTCTTCATGCCTAACTGTAGGTTAATTATTAAAGTTGCTTTTCATTTCATGTGACCCCCCCCCCCAAAATCAGCTAGAAAGGTGGATTAATATAGATATAACGCTGTATAGGCCTATAAACACAGATTGCACCTTTTATAAACTCATAACCCCCCTCCTTAAATATTCAAATTATATTTGATGTACAAGCTGTTGTTAAAGTTTGATTATGTGAGAAAATGGGCTCACCGACCCAAAGTATTTGTGTTCAATAAAGTCGTCTTTAAGCTGAAAGGACCAAGCAGAAAAAGTGATTAGAACTATGGCCAAGAGAACACTTGTTGGTGTAGGTTCGAAAGCAAGGCTTGTATTTGGATTTTTCACTAGAATGACTGCTTGGAGAGTATTTTGATTAATTTTCGTATTGTAACATTTTAAACGATATGGTGTAAATGGTGTTATGCATGTTTATACGATAATTAATAATGTACTTGAAAATATTGTTTAGAAATAAAATGAATAGACTTTTAGTATTTTAATGATAAGAAATGATATAAGATAGGTATACCGGAAGTTCTTGTCAAAGCGAGGTTAATCCGCCATACTACTTCATGTGGTGACACCGGCTTTTTGTTTTGAATCAAACATTCAGCGATTACGACGTTTCTGGAGAACCAAAAATAATGAAAATGCAGATCACGTCAGCAGGTAATATTCCCTATCTTTTATATATAGTGGTTTTACGCATATTTTACTATTTAAGAAAATACTTGGTTTTAAATACAGCGGTAGAATTGTGCGTCTGTTCATTGTGTGCTGAGTCACTGTCAGGTTCTAGATTTATTTCTAATAATGTGAGTGAAATGCTTGAATTTTAGTATTTATACAGTGATGAAACCCATGACAATACGTTCAACATTTTTCACTTTAATCCATTTGTTTTTATTTTGAACAGAAATATATATGGTGTATTTTTTTTTCTTGGCAACAACATCATTGAAGATGGTTTTGAAATTATAACATTGCTGAGATTTAGAGCTCAAACACAACATATGTGGATGTATAGTACTTCTGTTTAAAATATTTTAAATAATACTTTACTGAATGTTAATTCTAGCTGGCATACTTGCCCTGCTGGAGGAACCAGAGCCTGAAGTTAAGGTAGGTGGATACAACATACAGCGATCTCATGTGTGTGTATGCTAGTGTGTGTGTGTGTGTATGCTCATGTGTGTGTGTGTGTGTATGCTCATGTGTGTGTGTGTGTATGCTCATGTGTGTGTGTGTGTGTATGCTCGTGTGTGTATGTGTGTGTGTGTGTGTATGCTCATGTGTGTGTGTTATAGTGACTGGCCAGTGTAGACCAGGCTTGATAGCTCAGTGGTAGAGCAGTCGTATGGTTAGCAAGCATCCCAGAATTGGTCCTCAGTCAAGTCAGGCATATTCCCCCC